CCACCACCACCCGGTCCATCTTCGACCCTTGTTTACCCATCTTCATCCGCATCAGTCTGTCACCCACCCATCCCCGATACAGTCGCCCACAGCAGTCAAGCGCAGCTGGGCCCCAGTTTGCCTGAATCCAGGCGGGCCCCCGTCGAACTCGGGGGTCTGCAGGGGGCTCGCCAGGGGCGCCTTCCAGGACAGCGTGCTCTGCGTCCCCGAAGATATCGGAGTAGAATGACGTCAGCATCTGGAATTTCTTATCGGTAGTCGCTGCCGTCTGCATCGCACCGTCGTCGATGGGGTCGTCGTAGGAGTCGTATACGCGGCCTCGACTTGGGGTGGGCATGGGAATCGTTTCGTCTTCGGGCAATCGTCGATCTCGGCCGTCGCTCGTAGTCGCGATATCGATCGCCTCGTCCTGTATAATTATTTAGCCAGGGCCCCACGAATATGGCCTCAGGATTCTACCCTAAGCTGTCGCTGGAGGTCCCTGGAGCGCCGCAGAGGAGGATTATCTCGCGAAACTGCGCCGGCGGTTGATCTCGGGCCTCCTTTGCCGCAACGCGGTGCAACGCTGGCTACCGCAATGGTAAATTTTGAAATCGACGGAAGGTCTACGCCGCGCGAGTCCAGTCGCGGCAACGGGAGGACCAGAGTGTCCTCGGCCGCGCCCCCTGGAGGAACTGCGGGCAGCTGACGTTGAGCCTTGCACTCTGCGTCGCCAACTGCTCACGCACTGGCAACTGCAGTTGTTGGGCTCCACCCAGCAAGCGTAGAAAGTCATCTTGAAACCAATCAACTTGGCGAGGGCGATGCCATCTGGCAGCGTCGGAAATTCGAAGAGCCCCCCCGCTTCGCCAGGTGATCGGCAAAGTCGCCCCCCACATGTTCTTTCTGGTGCGATTTGTCCCAGGTTATGTCGATTTTGAAATATGTCCGAGTATAATGTACCATGCGCCTCAAGATGTGCGATCAGGATATTTGCCCGTGGGCGAGCGGCCCCCTCGGCGATCTGGATGGCGCACTTCGCGTCGACATGCAACGCGATGGATGCCCCCACGGGGATAAATTATTCGTCGGTCCTCGGTCGTTTCCGGGCCCCTGGGACGACTGAGAGGCCCAGCTGGACCTGCCCTTGTTTCAGGAGCCAGAAACACAACACGATAATGGCCGCGATCTCGGCCGCACCGTTCGTCTTCCTCACCGCACCTAGAAACGCGACGTGATTCGGGTCGTTCGCGACAGGGCCACAGGCAGAAACTAAAGCTCCCTTCCTAGAGGCTGGCGCATCGCATCCTGGAAGAAACACCGCGAAACCCCATCCCGCTCTGGGTTCCACCCTGTTCGGTAATCTCCGATCCTTGAAGAAACCTCCGTCAGACCAGATGCGCCAACTTCTGGGACCCAGCGACGGCTCGACCGTCGCCCCCTCGAACAAAGGCAGTGCGAGCTTGTCGCAAATCAGGGGCGGGCACTCAGCATCGCGCATGTGCCAGCGTAAATTCGACCTGCGAGATCTCATCGCTCTCCTTTTGCGCCCGTAGTTCCACCGTCGGACGCTGATCGGAGTCCGTCGCAGCGGACGCGGGGATGGAGACATCAAGCTGCACGCCGCAATCTGGCGAGGCTGAAAACCGCGTTTGCAATCACACTGACAGGTCCAACAATCGAGGGGGGGGGGCCTTCCAGAATACTCACGAGGGCCAGGCCGTGGGTTTTCACGAAGTTCCGGAAGTGGAGGGCGACGGCGTCGCCCCGTAGAGAGGGGAAAAAGGAGAGGCCCGCCCAAGGAGCAACATGTCGGTTTCCAACATTCGTTTGACCGCCCACCCCAATCACTGCGCGTCGACACCAAGAGCCTGCAATCATTTCATGTTTATGATCTAGGCACGCACTGTAGTCCCCGACGTGGCCGTACGGGGGCATGTGCGCGCTGATGAGAAGCATGCTCTGAGCTCCCCATCGGGCCCCTAAAGACATGGCATCACCCCTCTAACTGAAGTCCGCATCGATGTCCCCCTCGAAAGAGCGGTGTACCACCACAGCGGTCCTCCTACGCCCCTCATGGGAGCTCAAAACAAAAGGGATGCGACCAGAGTCCAAAGATGTGCACACCAAAATCCTCAGAGCATACCGCTTCCTGGAGTAGTAGAACACCCCATTGGAGTTCCTTGTCCAGTTCAGCACAAAAACCGTTGAATTTGGTATCGATGCTTCGCACATTCCACGACACAACACGCAATGTGGAGCATCGCCCCAGGGCCTCTTCTGGGCCCATCCATCAGCGCGAGCCGAAGTTGATGTCCTGCAGGGCATCTGCGAAGCGCATGTTCAGCGCTGCGCCGCCTGGACAGGTCGACACCTCGAAGAGCCCCGTCACGCGGTTCGCCTCGAAGATCCTGGTGGTCTGGCCGTCATTCGAGCGGAATCGGACGATCCCCGAATCCCAGTCGCTCGGCACGGTAGCGATGAGGTCTTCCGTCGTCGGGCTCGGTCCGAAGATGTTCAGCTTCTTGAGCTCTCCGACCAGGAGGTTGCGGGCCGCCGACGTACTCCTACTCATAGTTATTTCGCTCTCGGTGCTGTCTATATGATGAAACAGGTTCTTTCCCTCGTGCGAGAAGCGGTGCGGTGGCCCTTGAAGGCCTTCAAGAACGTCCACATGTTCTGTGATGACCGAGCTTTGATCTTGCCAAAAGAGTTGAAAGGGCCTGGGGTGCAGCAGCCCCTACCAGGTCTGGGCCCGTCCAACCTTGGAGCTGGGGTGAAATTGATATGATCTCTCTGAGCTTCCGAAGGATGACGGCCTTCCCGGTGTCCTGAGGGAAGCGGCCCACTACGATGATTTGACGTCTGGTCTTCGGTCCCTGGCATAAGGATTGCGAGGGTGGTGCCGATGTGCTGTGCCTCCAAAATCTCTTATCACTGAGCTAGCTGATCCCGTGTTGCCCACCCCGTTTTGTTCTAGACCTGCCGTCCGTGCCGCCAGCTCCGCGATACTCCTGTCGGTCCTGTCGAGCCTGGCGTGGAAGGCGTCCATCCGCTGGGTGTTCGCATCAATATTCAGGTCCATGGTCGTCTGCTTCAGCGTGAGGTGATCCACCTTGGACGCGATCCCATCGAACTGCGGGCGTAGTGACATCTGAATCGCCTGCACCATTTCGTTTGCTTCGCTGCTAAGACTGGCAGCAGGAGGGGGGGGTTAACACCGGTGACGCAGGAGCAGGACCACCAGGGAGCGGGACTCCTCCAGTACCTGGCAGCATGACCGGAAGCCTGACCCCGAGCGGGAGCGCCGCCTCCGAGAAATCTCATCGTCGGTCGGGATGTCGTCGCCTCGAGCCTTCTTCACGTCAGGCTCGCCGTCGATCAGAGTAGGACGACTGCTCGACCCACCAGCCCCAAACTGAACTGCCATGAGATCTTCCAAGCTACGTCGAGCGCAGGCGAGTAGAGAGACCTGAGATCCTCCACGCGCGCGGGACTCGCGGTCTGGGGGCCGCTGGATGTGGCAGCGGCGAGGAACAGTCGGATTCGGTATGCTCGGACTCTGTTCCGACTCTGGTCCGCTTGAGCCAAAATGATGTTGTTGATGATGATGATGCTGCTGCTAATGATGACGATGACGATGACGATGACGATGACGATGACGATGACGATGACGATGACGATGACGATGATGATGATGATGATGATGATGATGATGATGATGATGATGATGATGATGATGATGATGATGATGATGATGATGATGAGATGATGATGATGATGATGATGGTGATGGTGATGGTGATGGTGATGGTGATGGTGATGGTGGTGGTGGTGGTGGTGGTGGTGGTGGTGGTGGTGGTGGTGGTGGTGGTGGTGGTGGTGGTGGTGGTGGTGGTGGTGGTGGTGGTAATGATGATGATAGAGGAGGGGGGAGGAATGGGAGGAGGAAAGAGAGAAAGGAGGAGAGGAGAGGAAAGGAGGACGGAGACGCGGGGCGCTGTCTCTTCAAAACGAGGACCCAACACCACAGGATGGTTGGGAACAACAAGGACGGATGGTGTTGTTAGGAAGGAGCATGCGGGAGGAAGGGCCAATAAAAAGAGGAGGGAGGGAGAGCAAGGGGAAGGAGGACAAATCAAACGAATATATCATGTGAGTGGGAAGCTTACATGCGATGGGGCGGACGCGTGCTGGCAAGTTGTCGCGAGAGGGAGGAAAGCAGCGCTCAGGAGGAGGACTCGTTGGGGAAAGGATTGCGGCAAACACCGAGGCGAGAGAGCCGTTCGGAGCGAACGAAGGCGGTCCACCAGAAATATCGCGCGAACACTAAAATAAAATCGTGAAGTCGTGTGCGAAACATACGCAGGAGGATCGAATTCGTACTGGCACATCGTTGGGGAAGAGGGAGGAGCAGAAGGCAGACCTCAGAACGAGGAGGACCTGCCGGGGGAAGGGGGGGAGGGCAGAAGTCGAAAATATGGTGGGCGCCAGTGCGAGAGCACCGGGCTACCAAAAACTGGTGATATCCTGCGAGGCAGCCGATGTGCTGGAGGGGCTGACGCACGCTGGCACAACGACGCTGGTGAGAGAAGGTCGGTGTTCATACTGGGGATTCGTAAACGGTGTGCGGGAGGGGCTGATCCACGCTGGCAGAATGCCGCGGCAGAGGGAGGTTTCGTACTCAGACTGGCGACTCGCAGAGAGGGAGGGAGATGGAGAGGCCGACAGACAGAAAGAAAGGGAGAGACAGCGAGAGAGAGCGACGGAGAATGGAGAGACACGGGGAGACCGACAGGCAGAAAGAAAGAATCAGAGATAAAGAGAGAGAGAGAGAGAGAGAAAACAAAAAACAAAAAAAGAGAGAGAGAGAGAGAGAGAGGGAGACAGAGTCGGAGAGACAGAGAGACACAGAGACAGAGACAGAGAGAGAGAGAAAGAGGGGAGAGGGGGAGGGGGAGACAGGGAAGGAGGGGGAGTGGATGGAGCGAAAGGGGGGCAGGGGTGATGACCAAGACCACCTCTGGGCGTCCGAAGTAGTCGCGGTACAACTGGAAGTCCAGAGTGGCGGAAAGGACCACCACCTTAAACGGCAGCTTGCCGAATCTCGACAGCATCTTCACAAACAGGAGGCACAGCTCGGTCTCCTCATTGGACTCGTGAACCTTTCGAGGGCGGGAGCCGCCGCAAGGTCGACCGAATCGAACCGGACCTCCTAACCAGGCGAACAGGAGGAGGAGGAGGAGGAGGAGGAGGAGGAGGAGGAGGGGGAGGAGGAGAAGGAGGAGGAGGAGGAGGCAGGGGAGGAGGAGAAGGAGAAGGAGGAGGAGGAGAAGGAGGAGGAGGAGGGGGAGGAGAAGGAGGAGAAAGACGAGGAAGAGGAGGAGGGGGAGGAGGAGGGGAGGAGGAGGAGGAGGAGGAGGAGGAGAGAGAGAGAGCCTGAGGAGGAATCGCCCCGTTTCCGCCTCCTCTTCCTCCACCTGCCGAGAAGAGGAGGCGGAGCGATCCCCAAACAACCCCCTGCAAGTGCATCGGAGACTGCCTCACCCACGCATTCACCCACGACGGGCCTTGGACAGGGCCCCTGCGCGGCACCCCTGGCACGGGCGACCCAGGATCCTGCACACATTCCCCGTGCAACCGCGCAACCCCGACAAGAGCACACACATGCACCGACCAGACAACCCTTCGATTCACAAAAAAAATGGCGGATGGTTGCGGTTTCCGATGTTCGGCGGTTTCGTGTCGGATGGCTCGGCACAGATATCTTAATAGACAAATTATTCACGATATGGCGTGTCCCATATCTCACAGCATGAACAAACCTTAGACGCCCCACTCTGCCAATATCTGGTTGTACAGCCGCGACCCAACATTGTGTACATAGATACACACACGTCATTATAAAAGTGCGTATACGTACCCGTGTACAGATCCGACGACCCTTCGGCGTGTGTAGACGATGTCGTCGTTTTCGTCGTCGTCGTCGCCAGCCCCAAGAAAATGGAGAAATGAGCAGAGACAAGAAACGCCGTAGTCAAGCTGATTCCATTCCTCTCTCCTTTCCCTGCCACGGGGGGGGCATGGGCGAAGGGTCGGGGGGAGGGGCAGGGGGGAAGGAGGAGTGGAACAGGGAGGGTAGAGGAGTTGAAAAGCTAGCCGTCCGACATTTCCGTCGTCGACGCCACCACAGCTGGATTTTCCCCCGAACATGCGTCGCCCAAGATGTCTAGCCCCCTGAACAGCTAGAGGGCCTCTGGAGGCAGAATAGAAGTCGGAATCATACTTTCGGGGCTGCGTTTACTGAGATAGCGAGGCAAGTGAAAAAGCGTTCTGTCTCGCTCGCATCGGCGCATCGGGTCGGGAGCAGACCACGTCCGCTCACAGTGCGAGCACTCCTTAAGCCAAAATGGGCACGGGCAATGTTTGCCCGTCGGCGGGGGCGGCGTTGCCACCACCTCCGCATCTAATGACCACAACCGCCTGGGCGAACACACTCTATCCCCCAAGCACGAAAATAAAGCGCTCAGCAATCTTTGCCAGGAAAAGGCGCGGCCACTACCTCCTGGGCAACTGAATCGCCGCACCGCGAAGCCGCGTCACGACGGAGAGCGGAAGCCGCGACACGGCACAGGGCCGAAGCGTCTCTCCGAAGAAAAAACTGCACAACTGCGTTTACTATTGTGAACATGCATTCGGCGCCACGCGCCGGCTCCCAGCAGAGCCTCTGGGGTGGCCTCGTCAAACCCCCGTCGTCCACGTTCCTCCTCATCCGGCCTGCGTCGGCACGCTTGACCGCGATCGTCCGGCAAGGACGCCTCGGGTCCGGGAGCCGGGAGGGCGAGCCCAGTCCGACGCCACGCGCGCTGCTATCAAAGTCTGCACAAACAGCCATGCGCGACCGGAGAAACGCGCACCAGCGTGTCCATCGGCACCGGTGCATCCCAGCACCTTGAGGTCCAAGACTCCACCAGCGCAACGGCGCCGAAAACGGCCACAAATTCTCAATCACAGCGCCAGGAATGGCGAAACTGAGTGGGCCACCCAGCTGGCTCGGGCGAGCTGCCCGCGCGGCTGTCGCAAATCCTTGAGTCCGAAATGCGCCCTAATTGTGGCCACGCCTGGAACGCCAAACGTTTTCGCCAATCCATCGGCACGCTGCTCATCCGAAGGCAAGTGCCCAAGATCTAATAACTTCGCCTCAAACCTGGCACGAACGGCCGCGGCGCGATCGGCTAGGCAGCGGGCCCGCCATGCCCGCCGCCCGTGAAAAGTGCACTGGCTAGCCGAGCGGCCACCCCACATTCGGGCGACCTCAGGCTGCACGAGCATCGAGTTCAAGACGGCCTCGGCGCCCTCCAGCGCCAGACCGCCCATCGCCACAGCAGCCAATTCCGCCCCGGCGGCGCCGCGCGGGGGCCGCCGCTGCTTCGAGGAGCGCCAGTCGACGAGGCAATCGGCCAAACTGGACTGCAATGCCTGTTGGCGAGAATTCTGTCTCAAACGACGCGTCGGCGAATGCCGCCAGCGACGCCCCCCCATCACCCCTTCAAGCCAAGCCATAGAGCGCGCGCCAACGAGATACCGAAGGATCCGTTTTCCCAGGCGACGGGATCAACGCGGGCGGGCCGCAGCCGCAGACGCCACGCACGAAGCAGCACGTACAACACCTGGCCGGGCAGGGCCCGAAATCCAAAGTCAACCCCCAGACATTTTCTGCGCGAGCCTAGCGCGCGCGCGATCTCAGGCCCCCTCTGGCCCTGCACCCCGGGGTCATCGCCCAGGAGCGGCTCGACGGCGATCGCGCTAGCCGAGCTGCCGCAGGCCGAGCCCCATCTCTCGAGGAGGTCGCTCGCGCGCCCGCGCCGGCGCGCGCAACGCCCGCCGAGCAAGCCACGATAGAGTGGGGGAGGTACTCGATGGCCCCTGGAGCGCTGAGGGAAATCAGCGATTGGGCGCTGCATTTCCACATATCGGACATCGGACGCCCGAGCCCAGACACCGCCACGCCCAGGCCGAAAATGGCGAAATCGTCGAAGCACACGCGCGCGAACGCGCGCGCCACTACCTTGCCGGACTCGCCCACGATGGACCGCAAGGGTCGACGCGCGACTGCTTCGGCACAAGATTCGCCTAGTACGCCGTGCTCACCCCCCTCATCTGGCGGCCCCAGGCGTCGCCCCAAACCATCGAGGCAACGCGAAGGCCGCGCATCGCCCGCCGCGCTCGCCGGAGCCCCCCGGCCGCTTCGAGTCACGGGAGCTGAAGACAAGGTGCTGAGGATCAAGGAAGGTCGAACCACTACTTCGCCCGCCCCCTCTGGCACCGGCGAAATCAGGAAGGCGGCGGCGACGACCGGCGCGGAGCGGCTCCGCCTCTGGGTCGCCGCGACCGCGAGCAACAGGCGGCGGCTCGAAGCGTCGACGTCGCCGACGCCCGCGCCCTCGCCGGCCTTCCGCCCCAGGCGGTTCCCGCAGATGCGCGCGCGCCTTCTTGCGAAGCCCCACCTCTGCAGCCAGGGGCGCCTCTGTCCTGGCAGCGACCCTCACGGGGATAGTCTTGCACTCGGGGGCCCCCGTCGATTCCGCCTCGCCCAACACTTCGAAGGAGCCCCCTCGGAGCACAAACGGGACAACTCGCCATCGAAGGCGAGTCGCCAGCCCCCCCTCTCGGCCCCGAAGCTCGCGCGGACCTCGGCGATCGACGTCGCCTGCAAACTGGGCCCCTTCTCGCTTTCCTGAAAGGCCGGGAGGCCGGCGTCGTCGTCGTCGTCGTCGTCGCAGTCGTCAGCGCGCCCATCGTCGATGCCGCCCGCGGGCGCGACTCCTGGCACAGACCGCTGCAGGCTCAGGCGCCACGGGGCCCGCCCGCAGCACGAGGGCGGCGGCCGCCATCGCTGGCCCGGCCTCCGCAGCCGCTGGCCCGCCGGCTGCAGTGCCAAGGCGGCGCCGCGCGTCGCGCGCACGCTGCCGACGCCGGCCAAGGCGCGCAGGGCCACGCAGCTCCCGCGCGCAGTCCTCCCTGGACCACGTCGTCCTCAGAGAGCCGCACTGGGCCCCCCCCGGGACAGCGTCTGCCTCGGGCGCGCGCTCGCGCCCCCAACACGCGGGGCAGCGAACCTCAGCAGGAACCAGGAATCAGACAGGATCCTCCTGATCCCCCTGAGGCGCCGCTGCTGGCGGCGCGACGCGGTCGCCGTCTGCGCCCGCGACGGCCTCTGCGCCAGATGCTCCACGACCGGCCGCGCCGCCAAGGAACTGCGAACCCACGTTCCCAGGAAGGCCTCCGGAACCATCCACAACACCATCTCCTCCAAGGCCCGGCGAGGGCCCAGGCGGCGCGACATCGCCAGAGGCGGCGACGGCGCCCAGCTGCTCAGCTAGGCTGCTGCTGGCAGCTGCCCAGCCAACCACGAACGACGAGCTGACCTCGACACGCAACTCGCCGCCCTTCTCGTGCCCCAGCAGCGCGCTGCGCGCGACGTCAGGCACCGCGCCGAGGTGCCGCCTTGGCACCACGCGAGGCTCGAAGGACCCCTCCCGGTCCTACAGGCGCGCGCGCGACGCGGCTCCGAAGGGGGAGTGCCCGAGAACGAGCCCCCCTGCGCAGCGCGTCTCTGACGCCACGCTGCGCGACAGTCCGCGGCTGGCCATGGGGCCTGGCGGCCGGCCGCCGCAATGCCATCCGCCAGAAACATCGCGCGAACCCTGCCCTTAACCAGGCCAACGGCTCGCACAGCTCGGCCGTTCAAGCTGGGCCCCGCGCCAGCCGCGCCGCTGATCGCGATGTGATGGCGCGCGGCCATCTCACGCTTGATGGCTGGCCCCACCAGCTCACCCTCTCGGCACGCGCGAACGCGGTAGATCCCCTCGCAATCGAACTCCGCGCAAACCTCAACGCTCGTGGACTCCATCGCCGCCAACGCCTCGCTCAAAGTCTTTGTTGCCAGCGGCCGGACGTAGCACCGCGTTTTCGGCTCTGGCAGCTGCGCGTCCTCGCACTGCTCATCTTTCCCCGCATACTCCTGCGACCGCGTCTGGGCCGCGATGAAGGAGCGCGCGCACACGGCCGCGCACTGCACGACCGCGCCGGCCGCGTCGGACGCCGCAGCCTCCGGGAGAAGCGACACTTCCAGGTCGGCGAGTTCTGCGGCGCCCGGATCCTGGAGCTCCGCGGCGGCGCGCGCGAAGGTCTCGCCCCCTTCCGCGGTCGCCGCGTCGCTGCGGGTAGTAAGCACAAAAAGAACACCGCCGCCACGAAGTGCACGGAGCGGCCCGGCTGGTCCTCCTGCCAGCTGCTCGGCCACCGCCCTGGCGGGCGCGGGCCGGATAGGTCCACGCTCGGCTGCCCGCCAGGGCGCGTCGTCTGGGCAAACCGCAGGTGCCGGCGCATCCAGCCTGCGGCTCGTAGGCACTCGCCGCACTCAGCCACGAACCGCGGGAGGCCCTCGGTACGATGGCGCTCGAGGTCCTGCAGGCTTACTGCGGCGGCAATTTCCCGCTCCAGCGTGGCGCGAGCTCGACGCTCGCGCGCGGCGGCCCTCAGCTGACGCAGCACGTCGGCGATGACTTCGTCCAGGTAGATGGACCCGTCCTTCCTGATGAAGCCGATCGTTCTGCCATCCGGGAGCCTCACTTCGCAAAACGACGCGCTCCAATTCATCTGCAGGCCGAGCTCCTCGTTCACCGCCGCGATTAGGAAGAGCGGCTGCAGCTCCATGGGCGAGTAGACATGTGGCTTCTCATCCACGCCGAGCTGCGCCTCCTGGCCGCCGGTCGCAATCCGGAGATCCACGCACGCAATTGCGACCAGTAGCGACGCTGGGTCACCAGTCTGGCTCCCGCGTCTGCCAGAAGCAGCGGGCGGCCGAGCCGATCACGCTTCAGCGTCGATGCACCTGCTGGCGCCGCTGCTGCAGCCGCCGCCCGCTCCAGCGACTCGAGCCCGTCGGCAGCGCCATTTTCGCCCGCAGTGGCGGGAGCCCCGCCGATGTCCAGAAGGCCTCGCCCTCGGCGCCGCCTGCGATCCTGGCGCTCGCGCCAGCGCCGCTGCCCGAGACAGCGAGCGGATTGAGCATCCACGGACCTCCCTCGGAACGGCCCCTCGGGCCACGGCCCGCCGAAAAGCTGCGCGCGAAAGCCTCGGGGGTCTGAAAAAGGACCCAGGGACACACGAAGAAATACACACAAATCCCAGGATCCGCCATGTTTTCCTATATGTTCTGGGTTCTCATATTCCCCCCCACTTCCCATATTTTCCCACAGCTTCCTGGGAATCGACAACTAATTGTGTCTGTGTTTTTTTCCCCCCCGAGTCTGGGGCAACGCGGAAGCGCCGCCGGACGGCCGAGATGGCCGACCACCAGCGGCCGCCGAAGGTCCGGCAGCTCCTGCGGCGGTAGCGGCCAAGTCTCCCACCGCACCTGCGTTGGCGACGCGGGCGGCGGGGTCGGCGCCCGTCCGAGGGCAGCTGTCGATCTCGTGCTCCGTTGCACCGCAGTGGAAGCACCTCGTCGCCGGCCCCCGAGGGAGGCTGGTTCCCTGGGCGCCGCTGCGGCAGCCGCCCTCCCTCGGACTCGAGGAGTCGGCAGAGCCTCTGTCCAGCCTCGCCGTGCTCGCTCTTCCCCTTGCCCTCCAGTTTCGCCGTTGCCTTCGTCTCGACCTTGGCCTTGGCTTCGGGGTCGGATCTGGCACAGGTCCGCTGCTGCCGGAGATGCACCTGCTGGCGGAGCTGCTGTTCGACGGCCGCCAGCCACTTGGGCTGCCACGTTCGGAGCCGTAGCAGCAGAATCCCCATCGCTAGGCCCTCGCGCCTCGGCCGCCAGATAGCGCCACGACTCATCAACTGCAGCCTGGCTGCACGATGATGGTGGTGGTCATGGATGATGGTGATGTTTGTGATGATGCTAACAATAATAAATACTTAAATTACTACTACTACTCATAAGCATAATAAAAATGATAATAATAATAATAATAATACCAAGAATAATAATAATAATGATAATGATAATGATACTATTAACAATATTAATAATAAAAAACATCATCATAATGATAATAAGCATCATCATCATCATCATCATCATCATCATCATCATCATCATCATCATCATCATCATCATCATCCTCATCATCATCATCATCATCATCATCATCATCATCATCATCATCATCATCATCATCCGTATCATCAGTATCATCATCATCATCATCATCATCAGCAGCAGCAGCATCAGCATCAGCATCATCATCATCATCATCATCATCATCATCATCATCATCATCATCATCATCATCATTATCAAAATCATCATCATCATCAGCATCATCATAATCATAATGATAAAAATTAAAGAATAGAGATAATGATGATAAGAATCATCATCACCATTATCAGCATCATCAGCATCAGCATCATAATTAATATCATCATCCGTATCATTACTATTATAATGATGATGA